GTAAAGACATCTAAAGGGTCAGCACTTACAGTCGCTCTAATTTCAGAAGGTCTTCAAAGGTCTCTGGATGTAGTGTTTCTAATTGGTTGAAATGGATATACCTGCAATGCACAAAACCAAGTTAGTTATTCCTTGTACTACTTAGTAAAATAAAATGTTTAAGGAATAAACAAGAGCTTAAAATGAATTTTTTATTATTTTGTTGGACCCCAACACCATACATCAGATACAAGAATTTAAGTCTCCTTGCTCTTTATAGCTGTGAGTCTAAAAGCTTGATGTTCCAAAGGGGAAAGTGAAGCCCATATAGAGGAGCCAGACACCACCCCCTTTTCATGGAGTGACCAGAACACAAAGATGCTGAGTAGTTGGTGAAATTACTCTTCTTCTTACTGAAAAAAATGCAAGCAAGTGAAGCTAGAATAACAATCAAGATTGTAACCATTAGTACACACATTACAAGTGACTATGCACTCTGTTTTTTTGCATTTCATAATAAGGAAATTTTTGCTATCTAGAGGAGGCAAATAAGTATAGTTGAAGTAATATGATTGATCCAGCAATGAGTTACTCAGGAAAATACTCTGGGCAATGCATTATTAAGCAATTTTGTCATTGTGTGAAAATGAGAGTACACTTACTCAAACCTAGATGTGCAGGTCATTGCTCTACATGGCCTCTCGATGCAACCAAGAGACACAGTGAACACCAGGTGCATGTGGTGGCTGCTGGCATAACATGATATACTGATTGAGAGTAAACATTTTTTCTATAAGTAGAAGGTGTACATTCCAAAATAACAGTTTAAAGTATGGTAAGATAAATACATAAATGAAATAGTCATTTATTATCCTTACCAAGTATTAGGTAATGTACAGAATATTTTAATATACTAGAAACACAAGAAGTCTGTTCTCACAAGTATCCCTACAAGTGTGTAATATGTTGCACTATGATATTACTCTGGCTGTTTTGTCACTAGACAATAGGAATGTTTCAGCTCCGATATGACCTTATGGGACCACCTTCCTGACTATGGTCAATTGTTGACCAAAATTCTGTTAGTTAACACTTGATGGTATTAGAAATGAATTAATTCTAACATTGGAGGAGAAATGGGTCTTGATCATCTTTTTCTCCGTTGACTTTAAATTAGAAAATGTCTTACAGTAACTGCTTTATAACACAAAGGTAAAGACTGTATCTTAAGCTTACGGCAACATGTCCTGATGCCTAGGGCAGTCCAATTTGTTGTATAAACTGAATATGTGAAGCAGAAGCCAAGCACCTCTAAAGGGTTAAAGGGAGGTTCTTTAAAATGAGGCCTTTTCAGTCTTTCTCTATGCAGTTGTTCCTGCAGGTTTTCCCAAAGCTGTTGTTTCAGAAAAATCTCTCTTAAAGCAGGATTTCTGAGGACAAAAATGTTTGCATTTCTCTCCAAAATTCTGCGATAAAATGGAGACCCATGCTTCCAAATCAGAGGGCTGAGAAGATCTCTGGCCAAGCAAATCTTGCTAAAAGCAGGATCTATGGATGCGGCCACATCCTCCTCTCAAAAAATGTAAATGCATAGGCTGCACCTGATTTGTGAACATAGTTTTCATAAACCATCTTGTGAAATAAACAGTAATATACAGCTGTCTATAGTGACTTGCCTGCAGGAAGTACCTTAGATACCATACAAAGGAACAAAAAGTTTCATACTGAATAGGGAAGAGGACATTATGTCCATGTGGGAGGACACAGTAAATGGCCCTTGACTTTGTCAATGGGAAGTTATTTGACTTGAAGTAAAGACACACAAATAAA